GGCTAGGTTAGAGGGGGGGAATTTGAAACCGTAAGAAGGGAGGCGTCAGCGGTAACATGTTTACGCTTACCGGCCCTGCTGTATGCTGCAAGCAACGCGACCCGGCTGATGATACAACGCGACAGCCGATCTGTCATGAGATTACTGGTAATCGTGGGTTCATTATTCTACATGGGCTGGGATGCTGCCCAGGCGCCCTGATCTAGACAGGTGGACCATTAGGGTACTCGACCAAAGCCATTGGCTCAGAAGCCCAGCCGCAAGGTAGCGGTGTTTGGCGAAGATTGTTAGTGCATTACCATTTTCATTGAGCAAGTCGGCATACATGTTCCAACCCCAACCTTTTGTGAGAAATGTTCCGAGTACCGCGCACCACCCACCCAATGTGGCTCATTGGGCCATGGAGGCACACAAATCGCCACACCATGGCAAGATCCACTCTGTTTGTGACCACTCATGACATTGAATCCACTCTGTTTGTGACCACTCATCAATGACATTGACAGACATGGTTGAATCACCCAGTTATTTGCGCTCGCGCTTTAGAGCTACATTCCGCATAATGTGCCATATTCGGTTGACTAAAACCGCAGCAGCTGGAACCAGCCTACCTTGGTACACGGTTTATAGCTAACAAACTGAACAGAAAGCGAGACGCTTTAAGCCTCGAGGCTGAGTGAGACCGCAGCACTAGTCATTAGCTCTTGATAATCTTGATAGCTCAGGCCTATCACCCGTTCGACGCAAAGCTGCGATGCTGCCAAATGAAAGCACGGGGGATGAGGTACAGCCAGGTTGCCCAGACCTAGGGGTTCAAGGCGCCCAACGCCGCTACAGACTTAGATATGTTTCGCAGACAACTTGCATCAAATTTACAAGCGAAGCCTAAGTGAGGGTATCGGACGTAGAATATGTACGTTGCGAATTCCTATGTAAAGTCATCTCATGTAGGTATTTCACTTGACTGTTCTGGGCCGAATAAGAGGATCCGGTCAGAGGCTGATGAACCAGGTCATCGACAAGAATACATCAGTAATACATAGTAGTGCTTACCTGCCATGGGAAACTACCCATGTGGTATGAAGACACTTTTGTTCGTACATTTCACGCCTGTATGAGGGCTGAGATACCGTTAGGGCGCTCAAACATAAACGGGTGGACGATTAGGTTCCTCAACCATAGCCCCTGGCTCAAAAGTCTGACTGCATGGCTGTGGTGCTTGACTTGAGGCTACCCGAGCAGCGCAAAGTTTTAGGATCAACTTGCTGCACTGATCTTAACCACCAGCCCTGGGGGGGCGAGGTTGTTTGTCAGAACTCTGTACATGAACCAACCTCGCAGCAGAAGCTGTGGATGCTGTATGAGCGTCATCCAGTACAGCTCAGTTGGCTGCAGGGGTAAGCAAACTGTCGAGATACGATAAGTTCCGGTCTGTTCTTGACGGCATCAGTTAGGGACATTCGTTAGCTTCTGTCTGCTTTGTGACATAAATACTGACATGGCGGTTGCCTGTGGCCAGATCCTGCTGCCTTCACGGCTAACGCAGTACGACTTTACCTCCGGACGGCATCAGTTAGGGACATTCGTTAGCTTTTGTTTGCTTTGTGACATAAATACTGACATGCCGGTTGCCTGTGGCAAGATCCTGCTGCCTTCACGGCTAACACAGTACGACTTTACATCCGAATCGCTTTGCAGTACTGTTGCGCGTCGCACAGAGTATTGCTGCTCTTTATCTGATATCTCTCATTCGTCCTCTGCACCAACTTTGAGGAACAGCTTTTCAGCTGGAAGTCAGCAGGGTCATTGAAGTTAGGTTCAACCACCATGTCCCGATGGCGACTTTCCGTTGGAGAATGGCAATTCATAGGGGGCTGACCGAGCAGCACAAATGACGGCGCTG